AACATCTAATAAAGGTTAAATTATTGGAGAAATAAAAATTCTACTCAACACTTTTCATAATAATTGACAGAGAGGCGGGTGAGGGCAGCCTAATAAAATTTCCCTCAACAAAAACTTGAGCGAAATCGCAGTCGACGAGAACCCAAAGCGAAATTGACGCAACATTTCTCCCGAAGATGAGGCGAGTCACGCCAACCCCACATCTATTTTCAGTCACCCGATTGCAGTTCGATAAAAACCCCACACACGCTAAAAATAAACCTGAAGTGGTTGATAAAACGAGCGCCGGTGGGCATAAGGAAGGAACAGCCTGATGATAAAAAGTGTGACTTCACGCGAGCTGTTGATAAAAAGTGAGACTTCACACGGATTTACCTCCATGTTCGCGCTAAAATCGAGCTTCGGTGATAACACACTTTACAGGTAAATATTGGCGGTTTACAGAAGAAAAAAAATCTGTACTGCTAATAAAAGTTCGATCAATTAGTGATAAATTGATTTTTCCTTCATTTTTTTTACCTCTTTCGTTGGAATATGGCCCGATAGTTGCCTCAGTCTTGTGAGAGAAATGATACTAAGTCTTAGTGTACTAAGGTAGATTTTGTAGATTTTACCATCAGCAGGTGCGGAGTGTTGGTTTGCATCTTGAAGTTAGTGAACGTGAATTATAAAAAAAGGTGGGATTAAAAACTAAATGAATCGTATTTTCGTTTGAATTTTGAAGCTAGCGAAAGTGTGATATCATAATTAGTGGGATTAAAAAACTAAAAGAAGCGTCGAAAGTTACATATTTAGAATATAAAATTAGAACTGTTTGTTGCGACAAGTTAGTGTATAATGTAAACACCTTTCACAAAACAAAGTGTAAACTGAATACAGTACAGCAAAACATAAAGAATTGCGAACACCCTACAACAAAAAATAAAGAAATGTTAACACACTACATAAAAAACAAGTGTTATGTAAAAACTAGCGCAACAAAAGTTGTAATGCTACCATGTAAGCCTAAAGCAAAACAAAAGCTAACACCCTACACAGAACTTTACTTAAAGTAAAACACCTGATTAAAATCTACACACATTTTATCAAGCGAAAAATCAAGATCCGCTTAGCGATCGTGTAATAATGTAAACACTCTAAAACTTTAGTCGTGAGCAGTACCATTTTTTTTATTTTAACCCTTACAGAACCATGACTGCGTCTGGTGCAGGGTTAAAGCATTAGTCAACGTCTGCCTAGACAATAGAACCGGCCATCAGATAGTGCTGGTCACCCGGCGTTACTATGGTAACCAGAGACAGATCATAAAACACTAAGTGTCAGGAGAGGTCTAATTTTTTTTTTCTTTTTAAAAAAAAAGGTTAAATATGACCGTGTAGCCTTGACCTAATTACACAACAATGACACAACCTGGTGTTGTGACGTGACGGACGGTTGTGATTTACCGGCCCAGACACCGCTGACCCCGCCGCCAAACAAAGGGACCATTGGGTTCCGTCTCATCGGCGGCCCTGGTGTCGGGTTCACGTTTTACAGCCATTTAATCACCACCGCGTCCGGGCATGGCAACAGATTGCAATCGAACATCAGAAAAATTAAACCCGAAGCTTTATTATAGCTAACATACGCCACAATTATTACATTGCATGTTGTTGTTTTTTTCTTTGAGGCTTTTTTTGTTAAGTGCTTTCTTTTTCTTTTAAAATAATTTTGGAATAGTTTTATTCAATTTAAAGGATGCTTTATTATTAGGCCTATTATATTTTTATTTTTTTAAATTGGAAAATAAATTTGTTTAGGAGCTTGAAGTATAAAAATAATATTGATTATTTTAAAAACGTTATAATCTAATTAATTAATCAAACCGGGTCTTAATCATATCGAACGATATCGCCACGGAAACTAATTATAACCCTTAAGCTAAACATGCTGTAAGGTAAGCCTAACAAAACAAAAAGTAGACGAGTACTATAAGTGTGTTATGTGTATATTAAATGATTGTAAAAAAAAAACAATTACTGACGTTATATTATGGTTGGAACTATATATATATATATATATATATATATATATATATATATATATATATATATATATATATATATATATATATATATATATATATATACAGATAGAGAGAGAGAAACAAGGATCTGAATTAAAGGCCAACGTAGACAAAATAGACAACAAAGGGCCTTTGTCCCTGTCTGCATTTAGAATGTCGGCCTTTTGTCCCACAACCATATAAACGCCAATCTAGATTTTATACACCAAATCATGTTTTATTTGTCTTTTTTTTAAACTTGTATCCAAGAGAGCAATATTTTTTTAAAAACTTTTATCCAAGAGAGCATTATTTGTGTGAGCAAAGAGTCACAGATTATAAAGGTTAGCTAGACAAAGTTCGAGCACACAAATGGTTGAACTCAGTTAATGTTTACAAAAAATAGGGTAGCGTCGAGCCCAGCTCATCAATTAACCAGGGCCTAGTCTAGACCAGGGCATTAGGAAACAGTGTGTTCAGTTCACTGTCAACGTCGGTAAACACAGCACTGGCTGCACAAACTAGTCTACAACATTTACACACAAACACGGCAACATCTACACACAAACACGGCAACATCTACACACAAACACGGCAACATCTACACACAAACACGGCAACATCTACACGCAAACACAACAACATCTACACGCAAACATGGCTACAGCTACACACAAACACGGCAACATCTACACACAAACACGGCTACATCTACACACAAACACGGCAACATCTACACACAAACACGGCTACATCTACACACAAACACGGCTACATCTACACACAAACACGGCTACATCTACACACAAACACAACAACAGCTACACGCAAACACGGCTACATCTACCCGCAAACACGGCTACATCTACACACAAACACGGCTACATCTACACACAAACACAACAACAGCTACACGCAAACACGGCAACATCTACACACAAACACGGCTACATCTACACACAAACACAACAACAGCTACACGCAAACACGGCAACATCTACACACAAACACGGCTACATCTACACACAAACACGGCAACATCTACACACAAACACAACATCTACACGCAAACACAACATATACACGCAAACACAGCAACAGCTACACGCAAACACAACAACAGCTACACGCAAACACAACATCTACACGCAAACACAGCAACATATACACGCAAACACAACAACAGCTACACGCAAACACAACATCTACACGCAAACACAGCAACATATACACGCAAACAAAGCAACATCTACACGCAAACACAGCAACAGCTACACGCAAACACAACAACATCTACACGCAAACACAACAACATCTACACGCAAACAAAGCAACTTCTACAAGCAAGCACAGCAACAGCTACACGCAAACACAGCAACAGCTACACGCAAACACAACAACATCTACACGCAAACACAACAACATCTACACGCAAACACAGCAACAGCAACAGCTACACGCAAACACAGCAACAGCAACAGCTACACGCAAACACAACAACATCTACACGCAAACACAACAACATCTACACGCAAACACAGCAACAGCAACACGCAAACACAACAACATCTACACGCAAACACAACATCTACACGCAAACACAACATCTACACGCAAACACAACAACATCTACACGCAAACAAAACAACATCTACACGCAAACAAAGAAAACTTCTACAAGCAAGCACAGCAACAGCTACACGCAAACACAGCAACAGCTACACGCAAACACAACAACATCTACACGCAAACACAACAACATCTTCACGCAAACACAGCAACAGCAACAGCTACACGCAAACACAACAACATCTACACACAAACACAACAACATCTACACGCAAACACAGCAACAGCTACACGCAAACACAACAACATCTACACGCAAACACAACATCTACACGCAAACACAACATCTACACGCAAACACAACAACATCTACACGCAAACACAACAACATCTACACGCAAACACAGCAACAGCTACACGCAAATACAGCAACAGCAACAGCTACACACAAACACAGCAACATTGAGAGACACACATACACATTCCATATACAAACACAACACGATCTACACAAACACAGCTACATCTGCATACAAACACAAAAGTATCTCAACAATAAAAACATCATATACACATCATATACACACCGAAGTGGCACGTTTTGCTATCAAGGTCACCCAAGGTCAGAGGTCGCGGCCACAACCTTACGTGCTGACCGCATTAAACTGTCTGAGGATGGCCGTTGCGTGTCTGGACCCTCGGTCGTCCTCGTGACTCAGGCAAACAATCGAGTGAGTAATGCACGCGCAAATCAAAACGATGCCCTCAGCCCTCGAGAAGATTCGGGTAAAATAGGAGTTTTCCCCGCAATTCGCTGTCATCTATAATTCAAACCTGCCTTTATATAATCACACCCATGGTAATTGGAACCCAATCAATTCTGCTAATAGCTGATACCCAAGTGTCATTGTGTGTCTGTAAGTTTGGGTTATATATATATATATATATATATATATATATATATATTTATATTTATATATATATATATATATATATATATATATATATATATATATATATATATATATATATATATATATATATATATATATATACATACAGTTGTGTGTATGTACAAGCAGTGCTTTCAAGTGACCCTTGCGCTTTCCAGTGTTTGTTAACACAAACTCGTGATATTTTCATCATCATGGTTTCTATAAGGTTACGGATAAACAGCAACAATTTGTATATCTTTACACCCAAAGATTTATTTGAATTTACCGTTTGTGTAACATTTAAAAAGGTCTCTACCCCCCCCCCCCCCCCCCACTCCACCCATCTTCCAGCCACCTCTAGTGTTGAGCATTGCGTGAAATCACGCCGAGTCTCCGTATAACAAAAATAGCACTGCTTGTGCATATAATAATAAGAGGGTAACAAAACTTACCTTGTAAATAAATGTGTATATTTTGTTAATCCCAACACACCATGTCACTGCAACTGAAAACACAAAAAGAAAAAAAAACTATTTAAACATCAGGTAAATTTAAAGAATGAGGTGATAATATAGCGTCATGGAAGTTCTAAATCTGTGCTCATAGTCTAGATAAATAAATGATTTGAAAACCCTATCTACGCCCCATCATTCACTCACCGCGGCAGTTGAGTGAGTGGCATTAAAAAAACTCACGTGCTAGTCATTACGTCACTAACGCACGCGACGTAAAGCGGAGATGCTTGGCATTGTTTTTTTTTTATAAAGCGCTGACGTATTCACATTGATTTTACGGTCACGGAAGTAGCTGAATCGAATACATGTTTGCGTGCGACTACTTGTACTGTTTGTAAACTAAAAAATATAATCGAATACTACAAAACATCTAAACGTGAGCAAGACATATGAAAGTGTACTAGAGAGAATATGGATAGTGGATATACAATGCAGAGTTTGTGGGTAGTGGATATAGAATGCAGAGTTTGTGGGTAGTGGATACAGAATGTACTAGAACAGGTTGTGGATTGTGAAGGTAAAATGAGCAGTCTCCTCCCTCACCCCACAGATTCACACACACACCATGGAGTACAATTCCTCAACCCACCTACGTCGAGAGGTGTCTTAAGCTCCACCATCAGTTATGAACGGCTCCTTTTCCACCTCCTCACCTAATATAAACCCATGCCACAACTAGCCCCACCCCCAAACCTGGATACAAAAGGGATAATGGATCGACTAGTACCCCCAGCTAACTATACCAATAGACAAACCAGCATACCCCCCCCCAACCTCCTCCCCCACCCCAACAACAATATAAATTAATAAATTAGCACTCTACACAATATAAATCGACCAACCAGACCCCCCACCCCACAAATATTAATGCACCCACATTCCCCCACTCCACACGCGTGAGTCTCTACACTCAATATACACGCACTCATCCATTTGTTTCTTGTTCCATCAATGTCAGGGTGACACAGACACACAATTGTTCGCGCGTGTTGTTAATGCCGACAATTATTAATTAACACGAAATTCTTTCAGACATTTCTTTGTTGTTCAAATTTCCGGAAATTCTAATTACGGCTATTAACCGAACAGAAAAACAAAAGGGCAAAAAGAAAGTTAAATATTGGAATAATAACAGTGCAGAGGTATTCAGTGGGGCGCAGTGGAAACATAACACAACCAATTACGTTTAATAATGGTGTTTTTTTCTGGCACAAACCACAATACAATATTTTATGGTATTTGTTTCAGCGAAGACCTGATGCAGAAACGTTACTTTTGCTCCCTGAGATTTATAAATTTTCTTTGTCTTCTTGTATGTCATCGTCTGAGTTATACCAGCAATATTAACTACAATGGGCCATCGATATTTTAATATGTTCCGTCATATATTTAGGCTATACCTAATTTCTTAAGGCTAGACTTTACCAAATATAAAGATGTGCCGTCATATATTTAGGCTATACCTAATATACAGATGTATTATCTAACAGCTAGGCTTTGCCTAATATAATAAAAGATGTACTTTCATATATTTAGGCTATACCTAACATAAAGATGTACTTTCCTACATTTAGGCCATACCAAATATAAAGAGGTACAGTTACATTATTAACTTTATACAGACAAAAACACTCGGCAACACGTTTGTCACTGTACATTAGCCTGGTGTGCACATCACAGTAGATAGCGCAACTAGACATAAACACATCTAACATTAACATACGTAAAGTTTACTTCAATTATCTCATACGAACATTAATCACACCAACAGCAGGAATCGAGTTCACTAGAGCGGACATCATTATTATAAGTTTTATGGATTGACTTTCAATATCCAATAAATCCATGGAATAATCCAGTTCACGGAGTACATTAATCCATGCCACAACACTGTACACGAAAGCGAATGGTGTATGCGTTATCTTGGTGTTACGTCATCGCGTGTGAATCAGATTCTAGTAGCAATTAGTCATCCACATAATGAGAGTAGGCCTACTTGAAAGTAATTAATTGACATAATTTATTACGTAATAATTAATTGATTAATTAGGTTTGAATTATTAGAGTTAAATGTAAAATGTATAGCCACGCTATTACTAAAGAAATGTGTGTTTGAAATATTATTGAGAACCGCTGATCTAAAAGTGAATACAGTGTATGAGTCAGGAGCGAATCATTGATGACATTATAATTGTGTATTACGGTCGGTGTAAAGGGGGCTTGGTACGGATGTGAAATTGATAGGCTATTGATACGTGATAAAAGGTGATTGGTGTGTTGATAGGAGGGAGACACAGGGGTCCATTCACATTCTGATACAGTGGTCTGTTTATTGTCAGAAATAGGGATCAATTCAGTCAGACACAGGGGTCAATCTACAATCAAACACAGGGGTCCATTTACAATCTGACACGTTGGTCTAACCACAATCAGACACAGGGGTCAATCTACAATCAGACACAGGGGTCCATTCATTGCCAGACACAGGGGTCCATCCACAATCTGACACAGAGGTCTAACCACAATCAGATGCAGGGGTCTATCTACATTCAGACACAGGGGTCCATCCACGGACACGGGGGGTCAATTGACAGTCTGCTATAGGGGTCTATCCACTGCCTTAGACAAGGGTGCATTCACAATCAGTCACATGAGTCTATCTACGTTTTTATATTAATAGGTTCATTACGGTTATAAAGGTTCTTTTTTTTTTTTAATTACGAAATTATTTAACCTCTGTCTCAGGACCGATCTTAGTCAAGGGCGTGCATGCTAGTCAAGGTCACCTACGCATGATCTCAAAGACATACCTGGCGAGGTACTCACCTCGGCAGATCTGGGAGTTATTTACGAGGCGTGTTTGTCTTAAGTCTCGCTTTCACGGACTGGAAGATAAACCGAGAGCAAGTCGAGTCGCTCGCAATGTAAACACGAGTCTGGCGCGACAATGTGCGAGACAGTTGACTCAGCAAAATACGAGCTTTATTTAACACTCGTGGCATTTACATGGGCGGCCGTGCAAGCTGGGGCGACATTTACAGGGGCGTCATTGGAAGGTGGGGCGTCATTTAGAGGGGCGTCATTGGAAGATGGGGCGTCATCTATATGGGCGTCATTGGAATGTGGGGCGTCATTACAAGGTGGGCTGTCATTCAAAAGGTGGGGTGTTATTAAAATGTGGGGCGTCACTAGAAGCTGAGGCGTCATTTACATGGGCGTCTAGATAAACAGGGGTGGGCGTACAGTTACCAAGGTATGCCATTTCTATTCACGTCCTCAGAAGATTAAGCATTTTTTACATGGGTTTTGTAAACACTTCGGGCGCCCATTACATGGGAAGGGGGGTTGCAACCATTACATGGGGGCGAAAATTACATGAGGGCGACCGTTACATGAGGGCAACCATTATATGACATGAAGGCGCCTGAAGTAGGCGGATATAGTATTTACAAGGGCTCATTAAGACAGGGTGCGTTATTTGCATGGGCGTTACACCCGCTTGAGAAACTAATTTCGACTGGCCCAATAAAAACATAACAACGAATTACACACTCTGAAAGGATCGGCCACTTCCAAACTTGAACGAAAGACGGGAAGACAGTACATGGGTGCATCGTCGAGATGTTTATTTTTTTTTCTTCCATTTCTCCAGTTGGCATGGGATCAAAACTGCTCCCTCGTGTCTCACATTCCAACTGGGCATGTAGCAGACGTCTATGTCGCCCCCCGGCAGACGTGTTTGAGTCACGATTATCATGGCAGGGGGGGGGGAGGGGTTACGGCACCTGGGGTAAATAAATGTGCATGTTAATTCTTCAAAGCGACGGGGGATCCAGATGCCACGCAGGTCATTAAACTCTGTTATTGCCAGAGAAGAAATACATTAAGAACAAAGTTAAAAATAAACGTTTCGGTCATCGGTCTCCGACAGAATAAAACATCCCCTCGTCATCAACTTTTCTTTTTTTTTTTTTTGTGCCCACGACACATGGGGCCGCAACAGAAATCTCCCTCCACTTTTTGTCGGTCGCCGGCAATTTTCCTGGCAGTCCCCCATGACAGTCCTACCTCTGCCAGCTGCTTCCTGGCCGTGCGCCTCCACATCTCTCTTGGTCTTCCCTTTCTTTTTCCATGAGGAAAGCGTCCTTCTACTTCTCCTAACGTGACGCCATCTAGTCTTGACCCGTCGTACCACGGCAACATCAACCAGTAATGAGGACAGCACCCACTAAAAACGGGGCGTGGCCATAAAAAAAACCACTTCCGTTTCCTGTTTGAGTAAAAATCTATCACCGCGCGAAATGAAAACACACCGGCTTGACAACTACGACAAACATGTTCAAATTACAAGCAAGAAATATCAAAACAACTGACAAAAGCCTTCGTCGACTGTTTCTTTTCATCGGCCAATTTAGTTGTTTTTTTCCTTTAAAGCACAAGACTACAGCAAACCTTTAATTTTGTACAAAAGCCACAGTGAGTCTTTAAAACCCTCTTATTTTATAACGTTCACCTGTTTGAGGGGTAAAAAAAGTTTACCACATAAAACCTGAAAGAATATTTTATCTTTTTTTTTTAGTGTTCTCAGCCCGTAACAATTATTTTACAGATTAGAATGTACAAATGACAGTCACAAAGTTTTGGTTTCATTCAAGACATCCTGTCTTCCGATTGGTTATCTGGACTAATGTAGGTGGTAGACCTAGTGGTATACTTAATACAGAGAGAGCTTGATTGCAACACGATCTATAACTTTATATCAATTAAATTCATCGCGGAGAAAGCATGGCCTTGATCAGAAAGATAGCTCTTTTCCAGTAAGTAATGGTTGGTTCTTTCCACTAGCAAAAAATGGATGATCCATCCACCACCAAACAATGGATGTCCCAGCCACCACAAACTATGGATGGCACATCCACCACCAAAAGATGGATTGCCCATCCACCACCTAAACACCAATGGCCCCCTCCACCACAAAACAATGAATGAC